CATCCTCCTCCTACCTCACCAGGTCGGACAGGCCCAGTGCTACCACTGCGGACCTGTGTGAGCTCCGCAAATTGCTCCGTTAACTGAACCTCAGTTGACTTATCTGAAGAATGGGGTTCAACCTTCCTTTTCAGGTTCTTGTGAAGATTCAACGAGATACGTGTAGAAATGCCTCAAACAGTGTGGTCTCACGGAGTGAAAGCAGATCACACTTTCAATGAAGAGTAACTTTGCTTCCTTGCTCCCTCTTTCGATCCTTCCTCCTGGAGCCTACCTTACAGAGAGGTAACTCTACTTTAGCATCGTGAAGACTGGACCAAATAACAGATATTTGTTTTTTCCTCAAAAAAAAAAAAAAAAAAAAAAGTTGGGAGGCCTCAAACAGTTCACCCAGAATACCACTAGATCCCTCAAACACAGACTGGCCCTCCCAGGCCCTCAGGAATGCTCATCGACAGCTGGACCTAGTGCACTCCTGCAAGCCTTCTAGACTCTGTGTTTATGAATTCCCTGGTCAGTCCCTCAGCTGCACATCTGTCTTCTTGGAACATGGTAATCACAGAGCAAGGAGAAATGCTAAAGAAAGCACCAGGCAGGGCAGGGCTGAACCACATGAGTGATGCTGTGAAGATTTCAGGGAACCCATGAGAGGACCAGGAGGTGGGCGGGGCAGGAGGACAAGCTGTCTTGCTCCCACTGGCACTCTTGGGGCAATTATGGCCCTATTGACGGCTGCCATCGAGCTCTGCCCTGCGAGTCTGAGCTGCACCGGGGCGGCCCACAGATGTGCTCGGCCCACAAATGTGCAGTTAGCAACTCCTGAACTTTTGGTGACTTGACACCCGCTGATCTGATCAGCAATTACATTTTATTTTGGGGCCAGGGAGACAACGGAGAACCAGGAAAATTATAAGACATCAGAGCACAGTTCTTCTAAGAATATCAACCATAAACTTTTTTTTAACCAATTGTTGTTTTAGTGGTTAGGGGATTCGTGAGGTCCTGAAATAATAAAACCGTGGACACAAAAATCCGATTATAGCCAACTGTCCCCCAGAGAGCTTTTTAAATCTTTGTCCAATAAAAATCTGGGTGTGATTCTGTTGTTGTTTTGCAGGGGGATGGGGTGATTCGAGCCAAGAAAACTCTGCTGGTAACAGTGAGCGGAGCATAGAGATACATGGATTTGTAGTGTGTCCTGGGTTTGAATCTTTATGCTGCTTCTTACTAGCTGTGTGGCCCTAGGCAAGCTGTGGAACTTTCCTGGCCTCAGCTCTCCCATTTGTGAAATGGGAGTGGCAGACCTCATTTGGGGCTTATCAGAAGCATTCCCTGAGATGTTTAGAACCATCGAGAAAACATCTGGTCTACAGCACTGGTACATGGTAACGAAGATGGTACCTTCTTGCTCTAACATTCGTTTCTGAGCCGAAGGCAGAGGCTTTAACCCACTGAGCCACCCAGGCTCCCCTCTAACGTTTGTTTCTTATCTACAATAAACAGTTCCTGTTCTCACCATCGTATATCAAACCCAAATAACCAATCAGCCTAAGATGGGGAAATGGCATCACTAGGAGCAGTTTGGTTTCTGGCAAAACTGATAGGCTTTGTCATCTGCCTCTGTCAGAACATCAGTCCAGGCACGGCAGCTTCAGCAGCTTGGCTGGTGGGAAAACATGACAGAGCACAACCAAGCCCAGTCGGGTCCAGAGTCTGTAAAAGTCTTGCGGACACGAAACTTAACTAAACTCAACAGGGGTAGCTGCTCCCTTCTCTCCTCTCCACGCCTAGCTCACAGCAGCCCACGGCAGCCCAAATGATCCCCAAGAGAGTGTCTCTGAGAAGCACCACTGACTGTATTTGCGTGGGAATGGAACATAATTGCAGCTTGTAAAGGAAACCAGCCTAAGAAAAAACATTCCGGGCAACATCCCGAGGAAACGGGGAGCTCTTCCTGCGGGGACATTTTCCTGGTTGCCAGAGAAGGGGGCCAGACAGCTTGCCCACGACATTCTTGATGGAGGTGACTCACCCACCTACGCCCTCACAAACGGCTCCCAGAGCTGCCTCTCCAGCCCCATTGTCCCTCCCAGGTCCTAGGCTGCTGCTAAATGAGCTTCTCACCCAGAAAACAAAACACCGCCAGAAAGAAGAGATGACCCCTACCCATGCAGGTTGTCTCTCCCTCGGTGGGTTTACAAACGGGCCAAGCTGGGTCTCCCTTTCCAGTCAACTCGCTCACGCCAGCGCTGGGACAACAAGAGGAACCAGACACGGAAGGCTAACCACACATGCCCAGCTGTCTGGTGCCCAGTGCCTGGCGCTTGTAATAGTGAAGAAATGAATGGCGTGAACAAGTGAGTGAATCCAGGAATGGACAAACTCCATAGGAGGCACTGAGCAAAGTCCATCTTCTCCGGCAAACCTGCAAGCCAGGGACTGTGAGCATCGCGTTACAAAGGACGGCAGGCGGTCTCAGAGGGGTCCAGTATCTTGCCCACACTCACATAGCTAGGGAATGAAGAAACCAGGCTCTGAACCCACGTCTGACTCTCAAGTCAAGCCTTCCAGTATGGAAACCACCCTCATGACCATGATAATGACAAATGTTTACATAGCCCTGACCCATCAGAGTTATTTTATCCTCCCCACATTCCAGAGACGAGGACTCATCACGTATTTAAGCCGCATAGCCAGCTGGAGAGGAGGTAGGGATGTGAACACACACTTTCATTCTTCCCATCACAGGTACGCAGGGGCACCGTCTACAGACCAGCCCTGTGTTAGGGGTTGGGGATACGACAGTGAGCAGCACAGACAGAGTCCATGGACCTCCTGTCCAGAAGGGGGGTGGGGTCTACTTCAGAACAAAGCTCCTCCCACGACACCATATGCAGCCCACAGAATTTCCCCAGGAAAACAGTAGTGCTTCAGCAACTGTATGTTGCAAGGGAAAATGATCTGAAACAGAGCATGTCAACAAAAAGATAGGAATGGTTTGCCTCTCAGTAGCCTGTGCGTTCCCCAACACAGCTTACCAGAAACCTTATCCCTTGTCAAGGCCAGTTCTGCTCTTCCTAAAGACGGGTATGTGAACATGTTAGGAGGCTTGCCTCTAATAATCAGATTAATTGGGCTCCAAACAAAACCCAAATAACTATTCCCTGCTGAGTCACCAGAAAACCCAATAAGGAAGCCTGGGGAGATGGGAGTCTGCAGTCACCTGGCTAACTGGGCCTGGCCACCCTGGAACGCCCAAGCAGTGGCGCTGACGAGGGAGTGGATTCACCTGGTTAGGCCACCCATGATGCACAAGCCCAGGATCCCATTTTTCCAGAAGGGAGTGTAGGTGAGAGACGGGGAAGATCTGTGGGATTAGAAAGTTCCCTCTGCGAGACCTCAGGGAATGAAGCATCTTTGAGCACCATGCTTTATCTTCCTCTACCAAGCACCTTAGTCCACAAAAATACTAAATTAAGAATTTGATACAAAAAAAAAAAGAAAGCTAAGAGACTAAGGCCAAAGCAGTACATTTTTTTCCTTTGCTCAACAACAATCAAAGGTTAGGCCACTAGTAGCTCACTTACTAGTCCTAGTATCCAGTTCCCGCAAGAGAACCAGCCTTAAAGACTCCACATCAAGACCCACACACGTCACAGAGGCCATCGCCATGGTGACCAGGCCTCTTCCCCTGGCTCCTAGCTTTCCACAAGGACATATTCCCTTGGTTGGAGCTTACTTCACTCCAAGAGAAACTCCTCACGATCAAGCTCAATTTACCATGACAGTCACTTCACAAAAAGCAACCCTCGCCCCCCACCAGAACGGAATCTTGGTACCAGCTACAGTGAGGGGGAATCCTTGGGGGACCTTGGACTTGAATGGACCGATGGAACAGGGAGACAGGTTCACCCACACGCAAACCCTCTTTGGGGGTGCTAAGGGGGACACTGCCCAGACGGCTAAGTTCAGAGCCCCATTTCTGGAACCTGTTGATGAGGGAGCAAGAGGCTGGCTAAGGACAAAGCAAAAGCTGGCACCTTGCACCCCTTCTCCCTCCGCTCCCCTCGGTAATATGTAATAGCATCCCTCAGTCACCCCTGACTGCCATAGAATAGTTAACTTGCAGAAATCACAATCCTACAAGACAGAAGTCTCCCTTGGTTTACAAATGTCCTAGAGATCTACAAACAAGTTACCTTATCAATAGCACAATTTCCAGAGGCAAATAACTCAGTTCCTCAAGCCCTAATGTCTCCCTCCCGACCATAAACAAAACTGAAGGAGGCTGAGGTAGAAGGGAACGTAAATATAGTTAAATCTCTTCTAAACCTAAATCTCACTAACAAAGACGCTTGATAGCAGGATTGTGACATCCCACCAAGAATCTCCCAACTATCTTGAAGTTAATGGCTGGCCTAAAGACAACACTGATCAAGCAGCAAGGCAAGGCCTCTGGTATCCCAGCACCTTGTAGGCCCTCTTTAGCATATGAAAGCTCCATTGAAACCTCCATTCCCCTCACCTTCCCCCAACCGCCAGGTACATAACCTGCCATCCCTCACAACCCGGGGCAGCAGCTCTTCCTGCCCACAGGTCTTGTCCCCATGCTTTAATAAACCACCATTTTGCACCAAAGATGTCTGAAGAATTCTTTCTTGGTCATCGGCTCCGGACCTCCGCCCACCAAAGCTCACCTAGGTTCTAGAACTTCATCACTGTGACTATATGGATCTCAAACCTGGGCAGGTCTGAAAGCTTAGTCGAGAACTATACCAAAGGGTTTCTCGAATTCTAAATCCCGCTCAGTAGAATTTCAGAGCCATGACACGGAGCAAGGGTGACCAAGAAAATGACCACTGAAGGTAAAATGCCAAGCAGTGCCAGGAAGTTTCAAATTCTGCAAGAACCAGATTTTGGAGACTTTCATTCTCCCCTCTCCTCCAAAAACTGATGCATGGAGACCAAGCCAAGAAAGCCAGAAAGTTTCCGGGACTTACCTGGGTTGGGTTGTAGAGTTCCTGCAGGGGGCTTCGAGACCCCTTCCGACAGCAGATGTCCACACCGAAGGGGTTCCTCCGCATGACTGAGGAGAGAAAGTGAAGGCTCATCAGAAATGAGCAACAAAAGCTTGTCTGACAAAGAAAAAGGCACAGAGGTAGGTGGGGGAAGAAGAAACAGGTAGGAAAGGAAGAGAGAGAAAGCCAGCTTCTAGCAAAGCTGCTGTTCCTTTATCCAGTGGCACGTCTTCCCCAGCTTGCAGGCATCTCCACACTCAGGTCATAAATCATCTAAAACATTCTTTCCCCCAAGTTTTTAGGAAAACAAGTCAGGCATCTGAAACTCACCGAAATGAAGTTACTTATGAAAGACAGCATAAAGTTTGTTCCCAGGGAGTGAGCTCTAGGAGCACCAGGCTTGGTGATATATTTCAAATTGAGGTCTCAATGATCAATTACAACCTCTTATTCCTGCCCTCCCTACCCCCTCCCCCGCTCCAGCGCCTGGTTCTGGTCTCCTGAGCACCCTGCAGAGCCTCCCCCTGGAGGGCCCTCCCCACTGGCTAAGTCAGATACCCTGTCACCCCAAAGCCTCTTGTAAATTAGGTTATTTTTAATGAACGTATTCAGGTCGAGGCACAAAGGACAAGGGCTTATAGTTCTAAACAGACAGGAGGGCACTTATAAATAATAAAAGAAGGGTTAAGGGGTGCTTGGGTGGTTCCGTCAGTTAAACATCTGACTTTTGATCTCAGCTCAGTTCTTGATCTCGGGGTCGTGAGTTCAAGCCCCACGCTGGGCTCCACGCTGGGTCTGGAGCCCACAAAAAAGAAAAATTAAAAAATAAAATAAAAGAGAGAATTAACGGACCTCCTCAAAAGCCAACGGCATTGGGGACACTCAGCACTATTTTTTAAAGGTTTTATTTTTAAGTAATCGCTACACCCAATGTGAGGTTCGAACTCACAATTCCAAGATCAGGAGTCACATGCTCCACCGCCTAAGCCAGCCAGGCGCCACCCCCCACCCCTGACCTCCAAGAGCTATTTTTAAGTGGAAAAGAGTTTTTCTTTTCTCTTTCTCCTTGCTCACACTCTCATTCTGGGCCCTCCCTCCCAGAGCTCAACACACAGTCACCTGTTGGTAATTATTTGTTGAAGGGAGGGCGGCGTGGAGGAGGGAGGTACAAATGAATGAGAGAACAAGCGTTTTCTTCTCCCACAGGAGGCTACTTTCTCGTGCAATGACACAGTAGGGCATGGGAGGGGGGGCAGACAAGGAAAGCAGATCCATCCAGAAGCCTAAAGAATGCGTCCTTCTGTAGCAGCCATGGAGTGGACCGATGATGTTCCCTGCAGCAGACAGCCCGGAGTTTGCATTCTGGCTCAACTGCATTCCAGCTGTGTGACCTTTGGCAAGACACCTAACCTTGCTGTGCCTGTGTTTCTTCAGCTGTAAGATGGCACTGGCTGTGAGAATTCAGTGAATTACTCCTATGTGCAGAATGCTTACACCGGCGTGCAGGCCAAAAAGCGTTTCTTACAAATTTCGGAAGGCATCAAATCGTACACTGGATTTGCACATAACAATTCCCAACAAAAACCCGCTTACACCCAGGAGGGAAGGGCAGAACGTCTCTGCTCTTGAGCCATCCAGCGAGCTGAGGGGAAGTCAGCAGACCTCAGAGGCTTCTCTGGGGGCGCCTGGGTGGCTCAGTCGTTAAGCGTCTGCCTTCAGCTCAGGTCATGATCTCAGGGTCCCGGGGTTGAGTCCTACATCAGGCTCCCTGCTCAGCGGGAAGCCTGCTTCTCCCTCTCCCCCTGCTGACGTTCCCTCTCTGGCTGGCTGTCTCTGTCAAATAAATGAAAGGGTGCCTGGGTGGCTCAGTGGGTTAAAGCCTCTGCCTTCGGCTCAGGTCATGATCTCAGGGTCCTCAGATCAAGCCCCGCATCGGGCTCTCTGCTCAGCAGGGAACCTGCTTCCCCCTCTCTCTCTGTCTGCCTCTCTGCCTACTTGTGATCTCTCTCTCTGTCAGATAAATAAATAAAATCTTAAAAAAAAAAAAAGACACAGAAGATGCTATTTAAAAATTTTTTTGAAAAAATGAAAAAATCTTTAAAAAAAATAAAGGCTTCTCTGACTGGAAAGCCACAGAAGGCTGGGAGGGCTGGTGTGAAAGGGACACACCCGGGCCCCTCCCTCGCTCAGAAGCCTGCCTGAGGTTGGGATGGTGAGGAAAGCCATCTCTGCAAGGAGCCAGTTACTTCTGGACATTCTCAGGTGAGTCGATGCTTTCTCAGGCAGTTCTCCTTTGACTTGTCCCTCGGAGCCACGTGGAAATCCTCAGAGTAAAGCATCGCTTCCAGGAACCTGGAGTCTGTATGCTCTCACCCCTTCTCCTTTGCTTCCGAGAGCAGGGTCACTGCTTGTTTTCTGTGAAGGGCAGGCAGCACCTCGGCCCCATGCCCCCCAGTCTCTGGGGCACCTTGTCATTAGCCCGGGACAGCCCAGAACCCAATGGGCGTGGCTGCATGCCAACACCGCTCCATTCATGGACATGGAATGCGAATTTCGCGTCATTTTCACGTGTCAGGAAATCTTCTTTGGATGTTTTTTCCGTGTCACAGAAACAGGCGCGGCCCATGGGCTGTCGTTGGCTGACCCCCCCACCCCAGAGAGCAGTCCCCAGGATGCCTGGGGTCAGCCGAAAAAGCCCCAGACACGTGCCGCCTGCCCTACAGCCTTCTCCCACAAGGCGATCTGTGGGCAAATGTCCACCCACAAAAGCTGTTAGAATTTGATTAGGCTGTCCAGGGGTAGGGGGGAAACACTGCCTCTTTGTTCCTCTACCAAAGCCTCGAGAAGAAGGGGGAAAATCCACGTTGTGTTTTTCTTGAATTTATTGCTTCATTTTTCATTTCCACCAAAAACGAGGTAAACTGTTAAATGCACGCAACTTGCCCTCGGTGCACAATGACATAGCAACACTTCGGAGGAGAAAAAACAGCCATAAAACTTATAAAATTATGCTCACGCTGTGCAAGATTAAACCCTCCCCATGGCGGCAGACAGGCTCACGGAGACAGAGGCTGCAGGACCGCCGCGGTGAAAACCTCACCATGGAGTCCATTAAAAGTCAGCTTTTATGGGGAGCAGTATTATTTAATTGGTTTATTTTTCTAATACAAGGCCTTTAAAATACTTTGACCGTGTGGGGCCTGCAACACAGGCCCTTTCCAAGGCCGCCCACCCTCTGTCTCTCCTCCAGCCCTGGCCTTAGGCGCTCTGTCGGATGCCCCGGGAACCAGCTTCAGTACCCCAGGCCACCAAAGCCAAAAGGGCCTTGTGCACTGTTTATGAGAATGACAACAATCTTACTATTTACCGAGCGCTCGTGTGCCAGGCACTTGGTTAAGCATAACCCTTCCCACGGTGAAGGAAGGACCCACATTTTATAGGTCTGAGCCTCTGTTAACTTCAGAAACTTGACCAAGGTCAAGACCACGGGAGTGGAAAGTAACCACTCGAAGGTTCAGACCTGACTGCTAGGCTCTTCCCATCCAAACAAGGACAGTGAGGACCTGCTGCGTGCCTGGGAGACAAAGGAAGGGTTGGCAATTAGGAACCTAAGTATTAAGTATGTCGTTCCCATGAGCGTTTTAGGTAAAGTGGCATCAGAGAAGGTTGAGTGAGTGACACACACAGATGGTGGCGGGTACAGTTTAGAGAGGGCTCACGGTACGCCCCATAGCTTACGTTTCATCTGCACAGCAGCTGTATGGGGCGGGTGCCACCACTGTCCCCACTTTATGGATAGGAATATTGAGCCACAGCCGGGCTAGGTAACTTGCCCAGGTCTCGTGACTAAGAGGGGAAGCGTGGACTCCAACAGTGGCCGTCCGTGCTCTCAGCTGGAATGCTGGACCCGTGGTCAGATGCCAAGTCCACCACACAACTTTCTAGCTTGGCCCAAGACTGGGTTGGCTGGCCAGTTCCAGGGCAGGGGATCTAAAATGTAATCCAGTGTAACAGGGGTCATTAAAATGATATGATGGGGGACGCCTGGGTGGCTCAGTTGGTTAAGCAGCTGCCTTCGGCTCAGGTCATGATCCCAGCGTCCTGGGATCGAGTCCCACATCGGGCTCCTTGCTCATCAGGGAACCTGCTTCTCCCTCTGCCTCTGCCTGCCATTCTGTCTGCCTATGCTCGCTCTCTCCCTCTCTCTCTCTGACAAATAAATAAAAAAAATAAAAAAAAAAAAAAATGATATGATGGGACAGCCAGACTAAAAACTCACCGTTACTGCGCTCCATTCATTCAAAAAACTTCCCAAGTGCCTACAGCATGCCAGGCATGGGCAAGGGGGTATGGACTACAGACCACCCCCTTCTTATTCACATTTTCCCCTGCTGCTTGGCACACAGTAGGCACACCAAAAAGCCTGTGAATGAGATGGGATTTAAGGCTTCCTTCACAAGCGTTGGACAGGCTGTTTTCTACTATATAAGGAAGAAACCACCAGTAGCATTCAACAGCTGTTCTTTTTTTCTTTTTTTTTTCCCTTTGAAAATAAAAGGTCTGGTGATCAAAAGCCCTAAGAAAGGAATCCCTGAGGACATTTAACAGTGGCCTCCTGCTGTCCACGCGCCACCACAGGTTTTATTTAGCTGCAACACTTGCTTTTCTCTTTTCCTTTCAAAACCCCAATCAACGGAACTCAAGACCGTTTGGTAAGAATCAAATTGGCTCAATTTACAGCACGATTTCTTGGACCTAGGAACATTTTTGTATATTCCAAGATACATGAATGAAGCTAAAATCAGAATCAAGCCCCTGTGTTTGTTTTATGAAGACAAAGATCACATTGTTCCTACATGGACCCTCTACTCAAAATAAACGTACAGCAGGTGACACAAAGTGGGCTCTCGGCAAGGGGGTGGAGCCTCACCCTCTGAGTGGCTCCCTCTGACCTCGCCTTTGCTTCTGGGCTGCATGGGAGCTGGTGGATGGCTAATGTGGGTCCGAGGACATAAAACTGCAAGGCCCTAAGGGCCCTGGGTGGGAGCTCACCTTTGATGCATTTTAG